CTGACGGCACTGGGTACTCCCACATGCCGGGTTTTCAGTAGTGCAGGCCTTTTTACCCTGAACTGCACACCTCAAGCTAGAACTCACTGCCTTTTCGATGCATGAGTGCCGCTTCCTCGTTCAAACAAGTTTGCGACAGTACCAGTGCTGCTTAGCATCTTCGATGCGTTAATTTTCACGCTTACTTCCTCTGTGTGTTAAATTTCTGTAGCATCTTAATTTACTCGATGAGAGCAATGTCAACAGCAAGGCGGAAATGGTTCTTATGGAAGAAAACAATTTTCGACTTTTTCGAACTGCTGAGTAGCGACTTAACGGAATGGAGTGAACTTTCCAAACTGTTTATTCTTTGGATCTAATGAGATCGATTTTAATGCCAGAACATCGAAGCCTCACATCCTTCATTTGGAGAGTTGCGTACTTTATCTCCATCCCGTCCTGATAAGTCAAGAGGGGTCTGCTACCTGATGTTGCGAATTACAGGCGCTGGAATATCGGAATGAAGTGTAAATAAAGTCGTGTAAAATCTTCTACATATTTTCTTCAGGCATTTTCGACCCGTTGTTCGGCGTCCATTTTCAGTCTTCAACGCCGCTTCTGCAGCAAGCATTTTCTTCCTGTACTTCTTTAAGCATAAGAAAGTATAAATGCTTTCCCAAACGTGGGGTTTTATAAATTTTTAAGTCATAAAAAACACATTTTCGAAATGCGGTTGCAGAAATAACGCAATAACAACCAACTTTGATCTGCACTGCAACAAAAGGATGCCCTGGCTGAATATCAGTAGAAATGTTACACTTATTCGGGCCGTAATAAAAGCCACCTCTATAAATTTCGTATTCGAATTGGAAAAACATGGGAGCAAAAAGAAGCTGTCATGACTTTCGGACTATAATTAATAAAGGTAATTTACCGGAAGAAAGAGAATCAGAATGATTTCAATAATTTTGTCGGCATCGGTGGACATTCTTCCGGAGGTTGGCAACTGTTGTTGTTGTTGTTGCTGCTGCTGCTGTTGTCGCTGTAGATCGTAGTGCTTTTCCGAATCCGTTTTGGATAAATCTGACTCAAAAGTATAAAAATTATAAAACATTGCTCCTGTAACATACATGTAATTTACTCGCCCCAAAATAACTGTAATAAAGCTACATTCAGTGATATATTATTTTCACAAATGAGTCACTTGAATGCTCA